GAGCTGTAGTAACCCTGTGTGTTAGTTTAAGAAGTAAGGAGGCTCAAGTACTAGCCTTACTGTGGGTTACTTTGGTGGACTGCATACTACCTGCTGTGTCCGGCTGACTGGGAAGCATCTTTCCCTCACCCTAGGCCATGAAGCAGCAGTAGAAAGAATAAAGACTTGGTCTCACTTCCAGTTTTATTGGCCAGCTGCTGTAATGATTATAGGTTCCTCAGTCTTCACCACATTGTGGAATATGATGCAAATCTGGTTGGAGTCTCAGCTTTGTAACAAAACCCTGAACTGTATGAGTTCTGTGATATGATGGGTTTCATCCCTCATATTTGCCACAAACCTAGTGCGGAGACTTTGGCATTACACTTGTTACCTCCGAAATAGGATCTTCACAAGCAGCTGGTGACAAAGGCTTTTGCCTAACACTAGGAAACTCACCTTGTTTACAATACTGCTCCGATCAGATTGTATATTGAAGCCTTTGTGATAGATTGCTGACTCCAGTGGAAACAGCATTAGACCCTTATGAGAAACTAGTGATGGAAGAAATATATTGCCGACATTGATCTGACTGTCCAGATTGCAGATTCTTTATGCAGGGATCCTGGTTTCTCTGTTTTAAAAGTGCTGCCCCTCCCGCAGGGTCCTGAGGGCCCTGCAGGACAGGGAGGCAGGCCCTGCACAGCCTGTTATGCCCCTGGGCCATGGGGGCTGGGCAGCACAGGCTGCTTTGCCCTGGGGCCATGGGGGCTCAGAGAAACCAGAAGTGCCACAGTGGGCACTTCCAGTTTCACTTTACCTTATAAGCCAGCATGCTGGTTAATAGAGCATGCCGGCTTGTAAGGTGCTGGTTACCAGAGCTTTTACTGTAGATAGATAGATATAGGGATATGAAGATATATATGTTTGTGTGTATCAGTTGAACACAATGTTTTATTGATATATTTACAATTTAAAAAGTTTGGAAGCCTACCAGTGCCTCAATCATTATAATAAAGCATAAATTCTAAATACCTATATATTTTGGCATTTGATTTTAGTTTGTTTAATCATAGAAAATCAGAGCTCCCCCTGTCCCCTTTGCTCACCAAGACACAGGTCTAGCTGCAGCTGTCCCCTCCACCCCTACTTTGTGGTGCTGAGCAGCCCTGATATGCCATTGCCCCTCACTCCCAAGCCATAGCACCCCCAGTCCCATTAGTGCCCCTCACTCCCGACCCCCAGTCTTGCTGGTGCCCCTCACTCCTGACCTGCTGCCCCTAGCCCCCCAATGTGTGAGTAATAGGGGTATGTGTATGGAGCAGGGGGAATATGTGTGTGGGTACCCAACCATAGGTGATGTGTCGGGGGGGCAAGTGCCCTCCCAGATTTGTGCACCCACAGCAGGCATTGGGCTGCAGCCTGGCCGGACCGGCACGGGCAGGAGCCGCCCCTGCAGCCCAACAGGCAGGTAGAACCTGGTGCATGAAGGCAGAGTTTCATAGTTTGTAGGGTTGCAAGAGACCTGAGCAGATCATCAGTGGGGCAGCAAAACTCATTGCCTCCACTGGCACCACCCCCCATGCCACCAGCAGTGTGAGGAGTACCAGGGGAGAGGGGGAGCGCACTGCCATCACCTCCTCCAGGTGCTCGTGCAGCTCTACCTCACTGCCATGGCCCAGCCGCTACTCCTTTCAAGCCATGCCTCTACCCCACATGGGGGGGGGGGGGCAGGGC